TCCCCTGGGGCTGGTGGCAGGGCCCACCCCTGAAAAGCAGTGCCCAGGGCCCCAAGGTCCCTGGGCAGCACTGCCCCCCCAGCACCCCAGTGCCCGGCACAGGGTGGGGGTGCCCGGTCAGCTGTGCACCCCGGCTCGTTGGTCTAGGGGTATGATTCTCGCTTAGGGTGCGAGAGGTCCCGGGTTCAACTCCCGGACGAGCCCCCCTTTTGGGCACCCACCACCCCACTCCCACCCAGCTGGTGCAGAGCTCATTTGGGACCCGGCTGTTGACTTTTATCCCCCAGGGACACCCCACAGTCGCCAGGGCTTTGAGCTTAGCGTGACACACAGGACTGTCCCCCGCCCCCGGGGTCCCATCCCTGTGCCTAGGCCCATTGGTCCTGCAGGGTGACTCTGGTGTTGGGGTGGCAGTGGGATGGGAGCAGGGGCTGGGCAGGGGCTGACACCCTGTGGCTGTTGTGCACCCCATGGTTGTGGGGCAGGTGGGCGCCATGGCTCAGCTGGTTAAAGCACCTGTCTAGTAAACAGGAGATCCTGGGTTCGACTCCCAGTGGTGCCTGGTCCTGGGGGCTGCTTTTCCTCCCTGCCCCAAGCAGGGCGCTGGGGGTCTCTGCCTCAAGTAGGGGTCCTCGGTGGCCCCACTCCCCTCTGCCCCATCGGGATTTCTGCCAGTGCTCACAGCCTCCCATCCTTTTGCCCTTTGAGGAGGGTCTGGCTGCGACTTCTCAGTTACCCCCTTCGGTGGGGGATGCATCCCCATGCCCTGGCAGGGCTGGCCACGGCTCCCTGCTTCTCTGCCCCGGTTTGCCCTCTCCCAGTGATGAAGCTGCCACGGCGCAGTCTGGGTGCATGCTTTTACGGAAAGCTCATTTCAGGGTAGGACAGGGACAGTCCTGGAGATGCTGGGGAATATCTTGAAGTCTGGGTGGGGGCAGAAAGGACTTGGGAGCATCTCTGGGAAGCAGAGTAAGTGTTGGGGGGCCAGCAGCAGCACTTGTGCAATGATGGAGCCCATGGGGACGAGGGGAAGGTGCCCCCTGAGGGTACCAGGGTTGAGGCATCTCCCAGCAGATGTGGGGTCCTGGGAGAGAGGACCCCGGCACAGGCTCTGCTGTGGAGTTGGGTCATTGGATCGGGTGCCCTGCAGTGGGTTTCCAGCACTCATTATGGGCAGCAGAAGAGTTCATTCAGATCATTCAGGGCCGTGTCATCCCTCTTCAGCCCCCGTGCAGGATCCTGCCGTGTCTCGATGCCGCACACTGCCCTGGGGCACTGGGCGCTCCAGCCACCCCACTGGCCCCAGGTGGACCCCGGCCCCTCCAGGACGTGCCCATCGGAGCAGGCGAAGCGGGCGCTTGTGGTGGCCACTTCATTGCTCAGGAGCCCACGCTGGGGCGCCTCCACCCG